TGTTCCTGCTAATTAAAACGACTTTAATTCTCTGAAAAAGGCTAATCTAAATACCATTATTGAATTCTAGAATTCTTAAGGATTATCCAGCAATTCGATTAAAAAGGATGACTTTACTTATTTCACTGTTAATATTTGTGGCAATCAAGATTAAAACTATTTCTAAAGACTTTATTCATTCATCTAACTTTTGATTCAAAAATATAATGTAATTATTATTAAATAATTCATAGATAATATATGTCTGCAATAATTCCTTGTCGCATCTTAGAAAATATTTATAAGTGTATCAAAAGATTATCATTTCACAGTGATTAATTTACTTCTTTATAAATTATATTAATGAATTAACCTATCAAAGATTTATAATCATATACAAATAAGTGTATATTATAATGAAATATTGAGAATAAATAATATTGTTTTCATTCTCATTAATCTTCCATCAGAAAAATAATTATAAATAATTATTAAATTGAACACTATTAAAATAATATAAAAGTCTGATTAATTACTTAAAGTATATAATAATAAATATGTATTATATATTTTATGACATAATTATTATTTATAATAAATTGTATTTGTTATTTTTGCATTATTTTTGATATAAATTCCATTATATAAAAATGGATAAAGATAAAATAAAGTTGCAAAATAATGCTACATTTATTAATAGATTTATATAAAAGTAAATAATAGTAATTTAACATTTTTTATTTTTTAATTATTGTAAACTAATGTAAATATCTTATTATCAAATTTAAGAATAGAAATAATAAAGATATCTTAAATGAAATATATTATATAATTATAAAAAATAAATGTTTAATAGTATTCTCAGACTAAGCTCAAAATAAACTAATTAACCTTTTTTAATATTCAATTTTATTATTGTAAATAATAATAATATCGATTAAATCACTGATTAAACATTAAAATACGAATTATATTATTTTATAATTATTAATATTCAGTTCTATAGCAATTATTTCTCAAATTATTTTATTGTCTTTACACAAATTGTATTGAAGATATGTATATTATATTTTAAAATATAAGGAAATGATATGTTATATCAAATTGAAACAATATAAAATCATATAACTTTCTATTTTCAAGTTCTTCAATCATATGAAAAACCTTCTTTGATTTGGTACAATTTAAAACTCTTTTGGAAGTCTCTTTTGAGATCTTGTCATTGGTTAACTCTAAATTACTTTTCCTTCATCTTCTTTATCAACATTACAAAAAGTGAAACCGAGAGGAGAATTTGATTTCTTTTCACAAGTGTTTTGCTGCAACTTTTTTCTAGATCATCTTATTGAATTATAATACATTGTAAATAGTTTTTCAGGTGTCCTCTCGGTATTAGAAGTATTTGCTCTTTATAAAATGACTGGTTTTTTGTTTGTATTTGTAATAAGTTTAGAAATTATAGAGTCCTTGTCTGAATTTTACTTTTACAATTACAAATTTTCTTGAATCAGCAATTATATTAATTATGATTGATCTGGTTCAAGTACTTATAATTAATTATAATAACTTACATTTCTTGTCCCCATCAGAAATTAAAGATGGATTAGCTGTTGATTAGTTGTCCTGAAATTTGAAACACAATTATTTGGATGAATTAGATGTCTAAATTATTCATATATATTATAATTCTTACCTTTCCATTTGAGGATGTTGTTTTCTAAGAACATTTTGAACTTGGAGGTTTGTCACATTGAATTAATTATCCCACCGATTTCTTATTGAGTGTAAGCTTCAGATTAGGTTTTTTAGAATTCTATGATTTCATATACTTCTAAGAAGCAAATTATAAATAAATATCTTAATTATTTTAAATACTCTTTGTGTTCATATATATATATGTTCTTCAAATTTCATTCATTTATATATAATACTTTACATTGTTATTGATTGAATGTTTAAATATTTGAATAATAATGAATATTTATCTAATTATCAGTAATTCATAATATAAATAAATTATTTTCAATTTGTTTTCAAATTACTTTAAATAGTTTGAATTTTATTATACTTTAGAGAGTATCAGATTCATCAATATTTCAATTATAGAAATACTGTCAATTTCACTAAAATTAATCATTTAATTTCACTATCTATTAATTTATTATAAAATATGTTATATATTAACCTTTAACCGATAATTGAAAAGATGGGGGTTTTGAAATTAATTCATAATTTACATTACTGATTTGGATCAAATATTAAGAGAAATCAATAAAATAACCAGCAAATAAGAATTTGATTTATTTTATTAAATTCATATATGAATAAATATATTTTAAATATGTAGAAATAATGCTGCAAATCAAATGAATTGATTATTATCAGAATATAGCTATAAAATTTAGATTTAGATACATACTTTAAAAAAGATTTTAATTAAAATAGTAATATATATTATATAATATGGTTATTATCAATAGATAAATTAAAAGAAATGGTTAAATCACTTGAATAAGAAATAACATATATATATTAGACTTCTAATATCATTTAAATTTAATTAATCTAGTTATGAAAGTAGATGATTTTTATTTTGGAAATACAGCTAATAATCATAGCTATTTAAAAGTAATAAAAATGATCTATTTAATTTATTAATTGGAATTAAATCTATCAGATTTCTTGCTAATAAATATAGTTGATTAGTTATATCAGTAGATTAATCATAAATAAATGATTAGTTCTATTAATCTATTATTTGAGGAATAAATTTTTAGTATATTGTAATGAATATTAAAATATGAGTGCAATTTATTGATACTCAAAAACTAAAGAATTGATTATATAATTGAGTTAATAATATATAATAAGTTACATTCATTTTATAATCGACTCAATTTTTTGATAAGAAGAATAATTGATTTAATAATATCCTGAATTAAAAATAAGTTAAAGAATTTAAAGAAATTGTTTTACTATCTATATAGATATTAATGTCTATAATAATAATGGACAAATTAAAGAAAAAGAAGGAATGAGGATGAAGTTAATAATTGCCCTGTTTAATTAAATATGAAATAATCAATAATTAAGTATGATTTTAAGTTTAAACTTTTCTTACAATATTCATCATATAAATTAAATATAATTAATGAGTTGCGATATTTGCAAGAAACCCTTTAATATAATATGGAGGAGAGATACTAAATGTAAACGTTGTAATAGAATTATTTGTACTGATTGCTCCAAATTACAGTAGGTTAGAGATATATTTAGGAATATCTGTAAAGTTTGTATGCAAGGTACAACAATATTTATACAATTAAGATTGTGAAACAATTAGAAAGATTATTTCAGAATCACTTTTAGCTTGGAATCACAATAGTTAGATTGCCAAAAAATATTGGGTCAAAGATGTTGAAATTATCAAATCAGTGTACAAATTAAACAAAGAAATTAAATACACCAAAATAGCTAGAGATGTTAAAACAGTTCTATAAACTCCAATGAATTATTCAATCTAAGAATTTTTGAATTTATTGATATTTAGTAATAAAGACATTGAAACAACTATAACAAATGTAATTGATACTTATGTGACTCGTAATCCATAAGTAGGCTACAATTAAAATTTAATCAAATTAACAATATTTTTGTTATGTTTTTGTAAGGACTATGTTTGCTTAAAAATTCTAGAAGACATTTATAATAAAATACCAAAATAATACTATCCAGAGTACTAAACAACTTAAGAATTCATTAAAGATCATGATTATATGTAACATGATGCTATTTAAGATGTTAAATTTAGATTCAAATTAGAATAAGATTAAATCATAGCAGCTAAATAATTTATTGAATCAGCTATGATGAATTATAAAAATCAATTCTTTCTTAATCTTACATTTTCTTGTGCCTTTTATATTATAGATAAACTAATCTAAAGTACAGATTCAACTGATATTGATAAATTCTTTAGTGTAATCATTTAGATTAATATACATTAACTTTAAACTAAAAATTCAGAATTAGTGATAGCCAGAACAACAACAGTAGAAGGTATAAAATAATATTAAAATTAAATGGCTAAAAAAAGATCATCTTTATATTTATCAGTAGATAAATGTACTTAAGATTCTAGAAACTAATCATAATTATCTTGTAGGACTCTATAAAGAAAAATGGATGTAAATGAATTCGAAGCAGATGAAAATGAAAATTTAAGTCATCAATCTCCAACTCTACTCTAATCATAAAAATAAGAAATTACAAAATTAACCTAAGAACTTTTGTCATTAGAATAATAAATTAATTAATTAAAAATTGAAAATTAATAATTAGAAGAGGCAACTGTTTAAAATACTGCAATTCTCTTTCATAATTATGAAAATGCTATAAGTGATCTCATTGATTAGACAGAAATATTATTAAAGTAATCGATAAAATGAGTGGTTGAATATTTAATATTATATTTGAATCACTTTTCAAAACACTTAGATTCACTCAATTCTATTACATAAATATTTTTATAAATATCTCATATTGATTTATGAATCCTAGATATCAGATGTTCTTCCCATTAATAGTTAATATGAATTTTTGGATTTTATTCCTAATAACTTAAAATCTCTCTAAATTTTTAAAGGTTTGTAAAAAGATTAAAAGTTTCAATTAACTTATTTTTAATAGCTATTTTATCTTTTTTGTTCACTCTCTTTAGTCTTTTAATATAGTAAATTATTTTATATTGTGGAAATAGCTTAGAAACTAGTTTTTAAATATAGATAGATAGTAACAGGTTTTTAGTCATATTTTAGCCTTATGATCTTATTAAATCATATTATCTAATATAGTCTCAATATTGATTAATTTCTATTTTTGGAATTTCTGGTTTTCAAAATGGGTTTTAGTGTTATCTTTAAGAAATTTTTCATTTCTTTTCAAACTAGTTTTAAAATCTATATTGAAAAATATTCAACATAATGTCTGTTCTTTCTAGATAAAAATTATGAATGATTTTATCAATCATACAGAAGATTGGGACCTTTATTTTTATCGAGGGTTTTAAATATATGATTGTTTTGTATTTGATATAATTGAAATAGAATTGAGGGTCTCATAAATCTATAGAATAGAATATATATATCTGAAGTCAACATATTGAAAATAAAATATTGAATTCTTTTTTTTTATTTCTAATCCAATCTATTGTTTAATTTTTTATTTAAAATTTGAATTTATACATTTATACATAAAGTTTCATTTTCTTTCTTCTTCTAAACATTTTGAATAAATATAAATAATTTCTCATACAAGTATGAATTAAACATTTGGTTTTTGTATAAATTTATATATTTTAATTAATGGGTGTTCCTAATTTCTATTCATGGTTAATGAGAAGGTATCCTCTATGTCTATATGAACACACTCGAGCATAAAGAGTTGATTATTTTTATTTAGATATGAACTAAATCATTTATAAGTGTGCAACTGATCCCACTGTGTTATTCAAGGATTAATTAAGAGAGAGGGATTTTGATGATGTTTGGGTTTCTATAATAAACTATTTGGATATGATAATAAATTTAGTTAATCCTTAACAATTACTATTTTTGGCATTTGATGGAGTTGCACCACGTGCTAAAATGAATTAATAGCGTCAAAGACGATTTTAGTCATAGAAAAGATATAAGTATTTAAGTGCTCATCTTTAATAAATTGGTTTATTTCAAAAGAATGAAACATATAAAAACAATCAATTCAGTCCTGGTACTGAATTCATGACTCAATTGTATTCATATTCAAATATTAAGAAATCAATAGATTAAATTTTATATTGAGAGAAAATATTCTGAAGATCCAAAATTCAAAAATCTCAAAATCATCTTCTCTGGATGTGATGTACCAGGAGAAGGAGAACATAAACTTCTTAGTTTCATTCGTAATATGTAATTTGATCCAAATAGTGTTCATATGATTTATGGAGCAGATGCAGATTTAATTATGTTAGGTTTACTTACTTAATTGAAGAATGTTCTCATTATTAGAGAAGATCTAAAATTTAAATAAGTTGCTAGTGCTGCTGCTAATAGAGTTATCAAAATTCCTGAATTTCTAGTAATCAATATTTCAATGGTAAGAGAATATTTGGATTTGGAATTTACAGTTTTGAAAGATAAAATGAAAGTAGTTTATGATATCAATCGTATTATTGATGATTTTATTTTACTATGTTTTTTTGTTGGTAATGATTTTCTACCAAGAATTTATTGTTTTGATATTAGAATAGGAACCATAGAACCTCTTGTTGACTTATTCAAAAAACATTTAATTAATGCTAATGATTACATTGTATAAAGAGGAGATATCAATTACAAAGAATTGTTAAGTCTTTTAGAATTATTGTAAGGATTTGAGAAATTATGTATTAATGATAGACAATAAGAGATGCTTAATTATTTAAATACTAAACATGAGAACAAATAAATGATTGCTAAAGAAAAAGAATTGATTGATAATATTTTGAAATATTTTTCACTCCAAGAATAAACTGAAGGACGTAAATTTTATTATAAAGCCAAATGTTAAATTACTTAAGGTGATGAATTAGATCTAGAGAAATTAGAAGATATGTGTATTAATTATATGGAAGGAATTTACTTTGTGTTATAATATTATTTCAAAGGAGTTCCTTCATGGGAATGGTATTATAAATATTATTATGCTCCATTATGTGGGGATATTGTTGGAGTTGTATCACATATAATATAACTATTATCAGATAAAGAAGAACCTATTATATTAACAAAGGGTAAACCATATCCACCATTTAAATAATTACTTAGTATCTTAACTCCAGAAAATGCTATGTTATTACCTGAACCATATGGTAAACTTTTAACAGACAAAGAGAATTCAATCCTCAGAACACCTATTGACTATTATCCTGATAATTTTGAAACTGATTCATATGGTACAATGTATGAACATCAACATATTACTAAAATTCCTTTTTTAGATTGCAATCTTGTTGAATAGGCATATAATTCAATTCCTGATACAAATGATTCAAGAAATCAATAAGGACTTTCAATTTTCTATTAATATGATTCAAATTAATAATAAATATATGAATCTACTCTACCTAAACATTTTAGTAATTTCAAATCTTGTTGTAAAAAATAATTTATTGATATTGAAGATAAAGAATAATATTAAATTGCTTATGGATAATAATAAATTCTTGAATAATTTGATGATTCTTATTATATTCCTTCATTAAAAATAGTAGGTATAAAATCATCAAAATTGATTAATATTCAATAACATGAAGATGATATGAAGAAATTTGAAAATTAATTCTTATTTTTAGAATTATAATAAGCTAAATTTGATTATGATTAATTTATATAGGATATAATCAAAAATAAGAATTTTGTATATTGTGGATTCCCTATTCAATAATAATGTGAAGTTCTTGCAATCCTTAGATCTGATCATTTAAATCTACTTGATGGAGTTAAACTCTAATAAATATAATTACTTAAAGATTACAGTAAAAAGGATCATAATAAGATATATAAAGAAATAAGAAATAAAACCTTAAATTAATATGAGAAATTCATGAAATTAGATTGTTCAATATTTTTGATTGTCAAACAATATAAACATTATATCAGAGATAATAATAATTAATTAAGTTATCCATAAGATCAATATAGAGAATTAATATATCCATATGAATTTGTTTTTCCAGATCAAAAAATTAAATTTAAAATACCAAATTTTGAAGATTTTCAAATAGATAGACCAGTTGTGATATTTCATGAAAAGAAAAATGGAGCCAATGGAATCATAAAATAAATAGATAAAAAATTAACTGTTCAAATTACAGCATATCCAACCTTATTAGGATATGATTATATTCACTCAGATATTTATTATTCTTTATAAATTGTTAGTGAGAAACTTTAATGTTCAGTTAAAACATTGTTAAATTTATTAGGTAGTGTTGTTGTTAATATGTAAGATAAGGAATCAAAAATTGCAGATTAATTAGATATTGGATTAAATATTATAAATAGAACTAATAATTAATTAGTTCCTGAATTAGTTAGATTACCTTAAGCTGATTAATATGCAACTGGATCATCAAAGTATCAAAAATTCTTAGATCTAGAATTATCTGAAAAATGTGTTACTATTCTATGCAAATACAGAAATCAATGTTCAAGAGTTTAATAATATTTAAATTAATTGAATGAAAATTTTAAAAATTAACCAATAAATGTTGAGGATCTATTTCCTAATTCACCTGATCCTAATATTGATCTCCTTAAAATTTATATATGGATTCTTTAATTACCTGAATCTTAATATTTATTATAAGGAAGTTCATCAAAAGTTGCTTAAATTAAGATTCATAAAAAACCAATTCTAAATAACAATATTAATATTACAACTAAAAAAGTAGATCCAGGTTTTGCTGTTTAATAAACTACTTAAACATTTTTACCTCCATTCTTTATTAAACATCCCACAATCCATAAAATTGGAGATAGAGTTGTAAATTTAAATTATCCCTTTGGTATATATGGTACTGTAGTTGGATTATTGGAATAAAAAGAAATTATGGTTTAAGTATTATGGGATCAAAAATATATAGGTTTTACTAATCTTGGTGGTAGATATGATCTATTATCTTGTTCAACCTGTAAATTTACTGAAATCTTTAATCTATCAAATGAAGATTGGAGATTAAATCTTGCTAAGAAAGGGTGTCATTAAGGTGAATTTTGGGATTTATGGACAAAAGTGTATAAACCTGATTTTAAATCAAGAGCAATTGAATTTAATGATCAATTAAAAGAATAAAATCCATTTAAACAATTAGTTGAATTACCAGTAGAAATTAAACCAAAAGTCATTACAAAAGATAAAGAGACAGCTCCTCAAGGATTAGAATTGTTATAAAAACTTGCTTAAGAATAACCTAATTTAATCACAAATTAACCTTTATAAGGAATTAAAGAAGAATTGATTGAATAAAATGAGGATGAGGCTTAAAAAGAAATAAAAAAGTTATTTTAATTGTATTAATAAATTGATTAATAATCTTAAGTAGAATAATAAAAATAACCATAAATATAAAATGATGAAGAAAGTCTAAAAGTATAAACTTAATAGATAGAAGAGAATGATGATAAATAGTAATTCTAATAATAAATCAAATAATAAGTTTAACATTAATAAATTAAAAAAGTATTAACTAAAAAAAAAGATTAATAATTATAATAATGATAGTATAAGAAATCACATATTATATAAAGTTATTTAACTTTAAATAAATTATTTCCATTATTATTAAGGTATCTATCTTAATTGAGCCTCATAATACAATGGTTCCATCCAATACATGAAGGATTCTTTAGTTATTTCTCTAACTAATTCTTAAAATAATAATTTCTCTTCTTGCTTAAAAATGCAATTAATTATCTCCTCAAATTAGATTTTATATAAAATATCTAAGTTTGCCAAAGCTCTTATTTAAAAAATGATACCATTAAATTCTGAATTTATAATCAATTCATTTATCCCCTTGTACTATTATTAGGATATTATAGATATTAACTAAATATATATAATAAAATACTTTTTATAATAGTTCTTAATATTACTTTCCACAAGGCTGATTTATAGATTTTGCAATTTCTATTTGTTTCTGTAATTTAATTTGAATTAAACCTATATCTATCTAATTAGATTTTATAGTTAAATTTTCTCTACTATTTTCTTACAGTAATTGTGAATCTCTAATAGAATATCTAACATGAGAAATTCTTTTAGGATCTTCTATTATTTATTTTTATTCTAATATTTCCTAATCATATGGAAGATTTTAGAAAGTATAATCATTCTTAGATGTTTATGTTTATTCTCTTTAGTTTATTAGTGATTCTGGAATATATGGTATTGTATCAATTTTAGTTTTATAAGAATATCCAAATGGTAAAGGCAATGGTGGATCAGGCAATGAAAAATGAACTGACTTCATTAATTTATTATTAAATCAAATATTTAATTTCAGATTAACCTTGAATTGATCTAGAGTAGTAATACAAGGAGGATCAGAATTAACAGAATCACATTAAAACTCATCATCTAATGGTTCACTATTCATATTTTTATTATTATTCTCCCATTAAATAAACTGAGAGACCTCAAAAATATCCCTAACTTCTTATCCTAACTTTCCAATCAATTTTTCATTGATTTTATCATTTTATTACAATGATTAATGCATACGATCATAAGCCTATATTAAAATTAACAATTACCTTGAATAATTTATAATAAGTATTTATTGTTTGATTAGACTTATTTTATTCTTCCTTACTACTTAAAGAATTTGATTTCTAATTAAAGTTTCTTAGAGTATTCCTTGCTAAATTTCTTGTAGTAATCTTTTTTTCTGCTTCTAGATTAATAACTTCTTTTGGAGCAAAATCAAATAATACTAGTTAATCTTCAGTCAACAACAATTCCTTCAACAAATTAATTTCTTTGACCTTATCTATAATAACACAAAGATCTAAGTCTTAGTTGATATTTTTGCTAAAATTTAATATAATTTAATATTTACATAGCTTTTTCTAATAAAATACTATTTCTATCATAGAAGAATCTTTAACAAAACATCTAATACAAAATATATCTACAATTAAAGAAAATAGGGCAACTTCTATTTAAAATCTTTTCAATTTATTAAGTTAGATAACTTCTTCTATCAGTTATACCTAATTAGGATATAATCTTTTCTTATTCTTCTTAAAATATTTTCTATTCATCTTATTTAGTAGTTTCATTCATGATTAATTATTAATTTTGATTATATTTTGGTGATTACAATTAAGAATGTTGATTATTGGGTTTTTAAATAATTGTTCTACTTTTAGCTCTAGCAATAGTTTTTTTAATTTCCTTTCTTTATTAAGTATCTATGTTACTTGGATTTTAAATTGGGAAATCATAAACTTAATTTGCTAATTCAATCATGACTATATATAAATATATATATAAGAATTTACATTAGGATTTATTATAAAATGTAACTAAAAATCCAAAAATCATAACTACAATATTAGCAAAACCACCAAGATATGAGAGTAAATCAGCTAGATCTTGAAAATCTCTCTTAACTTAATAAGTATATGGACTTCTTCTCATATAAATAGCAGAATATTATGAACCACTGTTTTATACATTGCTGACTCTAAAATCTCCTTATTATTTGATATTAAATAATTGTTCTTAATTATCTTCAATATATGGGAATATATTATGATTAGTAGTTACATTATACTTTTAATAAAATACATCAGTTTCAGTTCCAGTGAGTAAGAGAAATGAAAAAAATAATTCATCATCTAAGAAAACTTATGATATATTTTTTGGTTATAATGGATTAATAATAGTATTAGTCATATACCTAAATTAGAGAAATAAAGAAGTACATTTTTAATCTAAATGATCTATCATTATTAAGATGATTATCTCTTTCAATTTAAGTAGCACATTATGGTTTCCATGTTAGAAATTGATTACTTTCACTTTTATTTGAACATTCAGAGACAGTTATTTTAGTAAATTAAAATACTTCACTTGTATATCCTCCTGATAATTAAATTGAATAATTGTATTGAGGACATAGCCATTCTGACAATCCTAGAGATATAAATTGATCTGTGAAATTTTAATTATTAAATATGTTTTGAAATCTGTCAATTGTACATGGTATCAAATCTATAAATGAATCTTTTTTAATAATGGTTCCATTGCTTAGTCTTGTATAGATTCTTTGTCTCAAAGTGATATTGAAGTAAGGATTAGTATTAAATTTACTTTATTCGATGGCTAATGCAAACATATAATTATCATCATTAAAAACAATGTCATCTGGATTAGCATCAAATAAAGTTTAGACATTCAAATTCACATAACTCTTATTCATGAAATCTATTATATTTTGTTAGAAAAAGAAAGCAATGACAGCAATTATTGTAATCGAAAAAATTCCTCCCATTGCTGTTTGATAAGAATCATCCCCATTGAAGTTTAATTGGATATTTTGCCCAAAAATATCGAAATTCTTAAAAACTTTAAATGCTATTGATTATTACATCCTATAGATTTTTTGAACATTCAATTTTAATATATTTATATTAATACTTAAAATTAATAATACTTAACATCAAAAATGGATACAATCAAGTTGCATAAGACAAATATGCTAATAGTAAGTGAATCTAAAATTTATATATATTTATAATAATTAAAATAATTAGCATAATGGAATTAATTATAGTGAGTTATTCGAATTAATATGATTTGACTATTTATTAAAGTAATATGACTTAAGATAGTGAATATGTAAATATTTGTATATATTGGTTTTATGCATTTTTACTCATATGTTTTAAAAGAATATTAATGATAAAGTATAAATAATACATTATAATATTTGAAGAAGAAATAGAATTAATATTCAAGATATTAATTAGTTATTTTTTGAGGATGAAAATGAATAATAAGTTGAAAATCAATTACTATCATAACATTGAATAAAAAATTAATATTTTCTGTTTTGGAATGAAAAAAGCAATAATTGTTTGATCTCAGATATTTTTAATCAATTATTAATCTCATCTAAAGAATTATACTAAATTTATATGTCCTTTTATTAATTCATCAAGTATATAATGGATCATTAGAATTAATGTATTAAATTTTAACTATGAGTCTAGATAGAAACGTATTAAAGGATAGAATCAATGTGCATAAATATAGAACTGAAAGGGAATTGTAAAAAAGGGATATACTCATAAATCTCTAAATGAAAGGATGTTTTAAACCTTTTATACAACATATTCCAAAATTGATGAAAAACTTAGATAATTTTGATTTATATGAATTATGTATTTAAAGTTTTCGTGGCTAAATTTCTCAATCTTTATATTGAGGGATTTGGAGGCTCTTAAGTATAATTGTATTAAGGAGCATTGAATCTTTAAAAAGTTTAGCTCAAATTGTAAACTCTGAATAAATTACTTAAAGAATTATTGATTCCTTTTACAATACTCAAAGCTGATATTGAAATGCTCAAAATAGATATTCCTTGGGCATCTTTAACTACTCAGCCTATCAAAACACATATAAGTGGTTTGAATGTAATCATACAATATAATGAATAAGAAGACATTGAAAATTTGATCTAGGATTTATCAAAAAAATAAAATACAGAAAATAAGATATCAATTTAAGATGAGATTCGAAAACACAAAGAAATAGATGAATAAGTATTAAAAAGATTTGTAAAAAAATTATTACTTAATCTTTCTTTTGAAATTAAAGATATTTAAGTTGAGTTGCTAATTAAACAACAATATAGATTATAAGTTGTTTGTCAATAATTTAGTACATCATGTTAAGAGAATTTAAGAATAAATCCTGAAGATGTTGATTAATTTCATAGAGAATTAAAAGTGGAGACATTTTTTATTAAATTGATTCGTTTTAAGGATGATGATATTTCAAATTAGTAATTATTAGCTTTAGATTAATGTAATTCTTATCTAGAAAGATCCAAAGATTCTATATATTGTCATGTTGAATTTAATAACTTTAATATTATTTTAGATAAAGACATTGTATTATTGGCAAATGATGCTATGGATAAACATACTTAATTATAATAATTAGTTTAAAATAAGTTAAATGAATTCAAAATTCAACCTATTCATGAGAATTTCATTTTTAGAGATATTACAACTGTAAGTAAGGGAATTCATTTATCTATATTTTCTAATAATCTATTTATTCAATCATAATTATTAACATTATTTATTTAATAATGTAATATTTGTGCTAAATCATTTTTATAGTAAATGTTATATAAATTAAGTTTTGAGGAAATACATGTAATAAAATTTATTGTATATATTTAGATTAAATATAATGGACTTAAGATTGTTTAATTGACTAAATAAGATAGTAATGAGTTTAGTATATGGCCAGAATTGCACAATCAAGATGCAGATAAAGTAAGCATTGTTCTAATTGTAGTAATAAATTATTATAGAAATCGCACAAAATTAAAGTGATAGAATGAAATTGATAGAGCAAAAGTTATTTCTTTAAATAGAATTCATTCATCTTGAAGTAGATATTCAACATTTAATATAAAATTCATAAGCAATCTTAAATCATATTTAAAGTTATTAATGTTTTATACCTCCTCAATAATAATAATAAATATCAACTAAAAGTCAAACTCATATCAAATCTCTTTAAAAAAAATTAACATTTAAAATGAATATTATGAAAAATAAATTAACTCTTAATGTATCTGGAATAACATAATTCTAATTATTATTTCAAAGTTAAACTCATATTGGAATGTATTAAAAGAAAGATAAAATAAAAAATATTGAATTGAAACATAATTAATTATAATTTCATTTATTTGATCAAAATTAGCATCTTTTAGTATCTCTAAATGGATTTAATGCTATTTTTGATTATTTCAAATAAATTGAATTAAATATTCAAATTTCATAAGTTTAAATAAGAATATAAAAAAATACATTTGCATAATTAATATCCTTATAAAAAATTATAGAAACTGAAAAATTTGTATAAAATGATTCAATTTAAAATAAATAAGTATAAAATAATTAATAACATCATAAAAATATTAAATTTACAGCATTAATGGAGAGATGCTAAATAGATTTTGGATAATGTATAAAGATTAATAATTATGTATCTTTTATTACACTTAACATTAAATAATTGAATTTATAATTATTATTAATTGAAAATAATGCACATCATTTAGAATTAAAATCTAATTTTAATTTATGGACTACTCATCCTTTATAGAAAAAAAGTTGTAAAATTACTAATGTAAATATTATTAATCTATTTTAAGACTATTAAATGTAAATTATTATGGAATAAAATAATTGATTCTAATTAATAAGATTCTTAAAATATTCTTTAGATTTAAAATGCTGTTGAAATCAAATTATCTTAATTAACAATATCAAATATATTAAATACATTTAATTTATTAAGTGGATTAGATGTTGTTAGTGTAATAAGAAATAAAACAAAAAAGAAAATATTACTTAAGATTATAAATGTTTAAACTAAAAATGTATAATCATTCACACTTGAAACTGAAGATTCTACATTGCTTTCATCATTATATGACAATCTTTAAGGTTATTTATATTTATATATTTTAAATAGATCCTAAAGATTATCCTACATATTAAATCTAATTAGGCTTAGAAATTAATGAATCTCTATAATTTTGGTCTTCAGCTTATCCATTTCATTTATCCAAATAATATTTTAATAAATTTGTATTAATTGATGAAATAGATTAACAAGAACATGATATTTTTTTAAAGGCTGTTAATAATGAATTTATTTTAACTTAATAGGATAAATAAAATACAGATTTATAGACAGTTGCAGAACCTACTATAGAAAATTAATCTGATTATTTATTGACATTTAAAACTGGGAGTGTTGAATGTTTTTTAATAGAGGGAAATTCTAAAAAGGTTTTCCATACAAAATTAACAGAATAGAATACAATTACATTAATATTAAGTATTATAATGATTTTATTTTTATAGTGACTGAAAATTAATAAGAAATAAAGTTTAATTTAAAAGAAGTGATTTAACAAAAAACTGTTTTATCATTTAATTTTGTAAAAATAGATAATAATTTTTATAATGTGCTTCTTTCATTTGAATTAGTAAAAGATCCTAAAGGATAATATTTTTAGAAAGTCATAATAAAACCATTTCTAATTATTGTTAACTTACTTCCATGGAATTTTAGTATTGGAAATGCATAATTTATAAATTTACCTATAAGTGTTGATGTTAATATGAATAATACTCTTATAAATAATTTTGATTAATAATTAGATTTATTTTATGCAAATTTATTGAATAATAGAAAACATACATCAAATTAATCATAATAAATTATTATTAATGGATAAGTTACAAATTTGTATTATTTAAACTTTTTAAAGGAAGGGAAATATGCAATAGAGATTAATAAGAGACATCATATGATTATGATATTTAGAAATAATGTTTTAGTGTAGAATTAAATGTGTTTTGTTATTTGTCGTAACATTTATTAATAGTAAATAAAATATTTATTATTAAAAAATAAAACTTAATTTAATTTTATTTTAATGAAAAATAAATCAAGAATTCATATTTATCCATATTCAGATAATTGTCTTGAATACAATATATAAAAAGGGGATAAATATAGAATATTTGTTACTAATTAAGATTATGAATTAATGTAATTATTAGATTCTGAAACTATGACTAAACATAATTTAAAAGTAAATAAAATTTAAATTTAAAATATTCATATTATAGAAATTATAATTAATGAAGAAAAGATTATAGGAAAAGAATTTAAAATATCTATTCCTAATGTAAAAATAGACATTTAAGTTTGTGATAGATAGGAGATTAATATCTTTTTTGATTTAAATTTAAGATTTTTCTCTGATACTCATTTAGATATTTTAATTTAAAATTTTATACTTTAATTTGAGAATATTAATGTAATTAATATTACTGATTGTTTTTCAATTATTGAAATGTCAAAATCAAATGATTTAAATATCATAATGATAAATAATATTTTCTTTAAAATAAAAGATATCAAATTAAATATTTAATAATAATTTCTTAATTCAATTAAGTTATTAATTTAATTATTAAGATTAGATCCTTTATTTTTAAGATAAGAATAATAATAATAAATATAATCTACTAAATGTTAATGGGAATAATTAATATAACCAACATTTATTATTTTAAATATGATTATAGATCCAATAGCATTAGAAATTAATATATTAACATAAATGATAAATATGACTAATAATATACTCTTACCTTAATAATAAATAAAAATGAAAAAATTCAAACCAAATCAATTAAAATAAGAAATTGTATCCTTTTATTTGGCATTTCTAATTACTAAAATTCCTACAATTTAATTATTAATATAAAATTTACCTAATCCATTATAATTATTATAATCTAAAAAGAATGAACCTGATGTTGTTAAATTACCTTATTTTTTCATACATTCACCTATATAAACTAAAATTAATTAAACAGAATATGTTTATTTAAATAAAAATTGTAAATTAGCTATTTCAAATGAAAAATTAATAAGATGTCAAATTGTATTAAGTAATGATAAACTTGAAATATTTGCATAAGATGAAAAATAAACAATTCTTTTAGATTCAATATCATAAATTAGATTAAATAAATAAAATTTTAGTATTTATGTAAAGAAAAATTTGAAATTAAGATTTTATTCAAAGTAGTCAAATTTAATTGTAAATTTAATCAAAAACTTATTATATTGATTCATTATAGTTTTATATATTATTCATAAAGATTCATAAATATATCTCTACAATTAACCTTTGTTTTTAATCTCATATTCATTAAGTATGCTCCAGATAATTTCCTATGTAATGAATATATTTCAGGAGGTGGAGGTCTCATTCGATATTTAAGCATTACTGGCATAAGTTCATAAATCTTTTTAGTCATCTATTATTCACCAAAATCAAATTCTCCTTAATATCTAAATGGTTCTCCAACACAAATAATAGAATCTACATGGGCTTCTTTCATTCTTATACTTTCTTCCCCTGTTAAAAATCCTAAATCAACAGATCGTTATAAACACTCTTTTCTATCTTATATGGTTGCAGCATATATAACTCCAATATAATTATCCATAAATGGTTTAGTATATTCATGAACTATAATTATTATTATATAATTACATACCTGCTCCAAAATCAAGTAAAATTAATTTATTATTATTTCTATCAAAATAAAAATTAGATGGATTTGGATCTGTTTGCATAGTTCTAAATTTAAATAATTCTTAAAGTGTAAGACTCATTACTCTTCTACCAATTTCATTTCTTAAATGTTAAGGATAATTTTCAGCTGCAAAATCAATTGTATCTCCATATAAATATTCAGCAGTTAAAATTCTTGTTGTTGATAAATCATTAAAAACTTCAGGAATTGCAAATTCAGGTTAATTACCAAATAATTTTCTATAATTAATTTATTTTGCAGCTTCTATTTTATAATCACATTCTTCATGTAATTCTTTTCTTGTATTGGCAATTAATTTATCTAAAAACATAGTCTTAGGGAATAAGTTTGTATATTCCATAAGTCTTTTCAGATTATTTAAATCACTATCGATAGCTTCCTTAACACCAGGATATTAAATTTTAACAGCTACACGTTTTCCTTATGTTGTAATAGCTTCATGAACTTATCCAATAGAAGCAGCAGCAAAGGGTTTGAGTTCGAATTCTTTGAATTTACTCATCCAATCACTACCTAACTCTTATTTGAGCATCTATTCTTTAACAATATTTCTTGTACTTTCTCTAATTACTTTTATGGCATTATATCAGCATTTTATCTAGCTTATTCAAACGCTTATCGAATATGTTTTGGTATGACTTCATCCTCTTAAATACTTAATGCTTAAGCAAGTTTCAAAGGGGCCCCTCTCATTTTGCAAAGACCTTTGGCTAGAATTGAAGCATTTTCTTCACTTACTAATGCTTATCTAAAAGAAATCTATAATTCTCAATTAAAGATATACATTTTTTTGAGTGACCATAGTTTTCATTGCATTAGTTGCCAAACTAACTCCTAAAGATCCAAATTCATATACCCTTCCAATTGCTGTTTAAGGCACTTAATTTTCAGTAAATTATTTATTAATAGGAGATGGAGAAGGAATTTAAGATTACTAATCATTGCTTTATTGATCTTATTCTACACTTTTCCTTTAATTTTGATCATTATTTTATTTATCTAATTTATTGTTTTGCTATTGAATAGATTACTATTATTCTTAATCTACCTTTTTGATTGTTTCTCTTTATTCATTTATTTTAGAGATTTATTTCTCTTATTTGAATTGATCTATTAGATTATCTTTAATTAATTAAGGTTAATTGACTCCATCAATTACTCTGTAGATACCTCTACATACTCCAGCAAAATCTTAAAATTCCTTTTTTCTAATTAAGCTTGATATGAAGGGTAACATACCAGAATTAATTTTATATTTAATAATATAAATACAAGTATATTCTTACCTTAAAAACAATTAACTATTATTTAGAAAGTATATAAAATAAGCATTATTAGAATGCTTATCTTATCTAAAATTGGGATTTATATAATCACATTAGATTTTTGATAAAATATAGATTTAGAATTAAAATTAGAAAATAATTGTGAAGGGATTAGTGGTTAATTTATAGATTGTATATAAAATTTTAATAAATTTATAAAGTTTAATAAGTAGTTAAGCAGAGTGTATTTTAAATAATAGTTTATTAAATTAGTGTATGTATAAAATACAATATAAAAATAAGATATAGGATTGAGGATTTTAGTTTGAATTTGTTAAAATGATATAATATTTATATATAATAATTAAGTTAAAATGTACGGTTTGAATCATTAAATGAATAGGAGTCTTGATGATAATGATGAAACCTAAACTTTGGAAGAGGAGGTTATGGATGATTATTCACCTACTAAATAAGGTTTTTAATAAAAGTTATATTTAGAAATACGTGATTATGCAATTCATTTGGGAATGAATTTACCTGAAGACAATTAATATTTAGATATTGCAAAAGCTGGTCTAAAAGCAAAATTACCTGATGAATGGAAGATTTGTTCCAAGAGGGTTAATGGGAACGAGTAAGTTTTCTATAAGAACAGGGAAACTTAAGAAATAGTTTATGAGCATCCTTGTGATTTAATATATTAAAAGAAATATGAAGAAGCAAAATAGATTGATTTTTAAAATCAAAAGAAAAAAGTATTTAGAATATTATATTCCAGAAATCGACTGGGATTAATAAGTTCAAAAAAGATATTGAAAAATATAGGGAACCAAATTATTTAGATGGAAATGAAGAAGCTGAATCATTTATGGTGGATTCTAATGTTTATTACGAGAATAGATAAAATCAAGGTTATGTAGTGTAGAATCCAATTTAAGTTTCAGCAACTTAGAATTTATTATCATAAGTTGATTAAGAATTTGCAAAGTAAGCTATAGATTATGAGGATGAAAAGAAGAAGGATGTTATTAAGTTGAAAGAGGAAAATAAATAGAAATTGAATAAAATGGAATTGATATTGATGAATGAGGCAGATCCTGAATTATTTGAATTTAAGGAAGAATATGAAAGATAAAAAGAAAACTTATCTAAAAATGAAGAAGAGAAGAAAAGAAAGATAAAAAGAAAAGTGGAAGAGGAAATGGAATAGTATATTATAAATTAGAAGAATGTATTATAAAAATAATTAGAACGTAATTTAGAGAATTATGAATATGAATAAGAGAAAACTATAAAGAATAAATTAAGAATTTTGGAATAAGATTTATAGGGATAATAAAAGGATATAATAAAAAGAATTAATTAAAGATAGAAAGAATTATCTGATTCTGATTCTAAATGGATGAAATAAATATAAGAGAAAAAAAAGAATGTAGAGAATTAATTAAATAAATATAAAAAGGAATTGACTTAAGAAATTTATTAAAAGATATAATTAATAGATTAAGAGAATATAAAAAGGTTAAGAACAGAATAGGAAGTTATAAAGAGAAAATTAATTAATGAATTTGATAAAGTTAGGAGAGAATATAAATTTGAAATTGTAGATTTATAAGAAGAAAATTAAAGAATGATGAGATCAATAAAGGAAGAGATGAAGAGTTAATATGATCCAAAATTTAGTTAAATTTAATAGATATTTAGTGATTAATTGTAAAATATTGAATTAAGTGAATCATAAATGTTATAATCATAAATATATGATTATAAAAATTTAGATATAGAATCAAGAAAGTAAGAAAATATTAAGAAGATTAATTAATAAAAGGAAAAATTAATTTAATAACTTTAAAATTAAGTTATAAATTTAGAGAGATAAACTAATGAGAAATATTAGGAAATGAAGAGAAAATTAGAAGAAACATAAAGATTAAAATTAGAAAAGATATAAAAAGATTTTGAGAAGAAAACAGGTAAAATATTAGGAAATGGAAAGGAAATAGATTTATGTATGGAAATAAATTAAACAAGAAGTTTATTACATGAATTGAAAGAGGAAATAAAATAATTTAAGAGAAAGAAAATTGAAGCTGAAGAGAAATTAGCAAGTATGAATATTGTTGTTTCAAAATATGATTTATAAAATGAATTGAAATAAAAGGATGTTATTAAATTTGAATTGGATCGTTTATAATATTTAGTAAATTAATATAAATAGGATGATAAAATAGCAGATAAGGAATTAGAATTATTAGAATAATAATATTAATAGATGATAAGAAAACATTAAGAATTTTAATAGAAATAATAAACAATGTAAAATATGATTTAGAGTGTTAATGAATTAAGAGAATAATTAGCATTTAATTAAAGTAGTGATAATTCTAAATTTTAAAGCAATCTATTTAGACCAAATAAAAATTATGGAACTGAAATTAATATATAAAATAATCTATCAATGAATCAAAGTGTTGTAATTGAAGAGAATGCTGTATAAATGTAATTAATATTTTATAATAAAATTTTAGGCGTAAATGGAAATTAATATTATTGGATGAAAGAGTGGCTTTAAATAGAGAATAATAATTATATAAAACTGATAAGGAGAAAATAAAATAAATGAGAAGAAAATTATTAATAGATTCTGAATAATTAAAATCATAAATAGAGATGGCATAATCATTTGATTAAAATAATATGAAAAAAGATTTAATTAAAAAACTTAAATAAGAAATTAAAGAATAATAAATAAAAATTACAGATGATACAGAAAAATCAAATAGTTGGAGATAAATATTAAAATAGAAATCAAAAACATTAGATTAAATGGAAAAGAATATAAATGATACTAATCCTCAACCAGAATTATTACATTCATTAGAATAATTATATTTACTCTATAGTAAAATAGGAGAATTAGAACTTAATGATGATATGATAGAATAACAGATTTCAAACAATAATGAAAGTTATTTCAATTAAATAAAAATAATTTCAGAGGAACCATCTATGTAATAGGAAATACAATAATAGAATTATGATGTAGCCATGCCATTTGAACAACCTAAAGTATTACATTTTGAATAACCAGAGAATCTATAAAAATACAGAATGTAATTAATATAATAAAAAGAATGGTTTTAAAATTATAAGTATAGAGTAATAATTAAACAATATTTATTAGGTTCTTGCAACTAATCCTTATAGTATAGATTCTAGAGAAAGATTTTAAAGGTACTAATAGTTTCTACATTGCAAAGTATGAAATAATTTATATTATTATATTTATTTTTTTAAAACGGAATGAAGTTAATTATGTTATTCATCATCGGATTAGGTTTTATTAGTGCAAGTCTTAGTAAGTACTTTATTCTATTTAGTCAGGATGAGTAATTCTGAAGAGTTATCTTTAGAGCCTGCATATTACAAGCCTATGAAAAAATAATAGGAAATGATTAAGCAATAAGTCTAGAATACTAAATATTATGAGTCAAAAGATGGAGAACCTTCATAAAGTTTTGAAATGGAAGATAAACTTTTAGAAGCAAGTGATGAATATGGTTATGGATATTGGGTTCGTTTTTCTGAAAATGAAAATTAAGACACCTTGAAATATTATTTTCTTAGTAGATTAACTACAAATAAAGAACATGGAGATTTAACTTATTATGGGGATAGAACATTAAGTGTATTTTTGTATAAGAATGTGTTTGTTTTTGCTACATATGATTTGGATGAGAATCTTAAATCAAAAGAAAGACCAGTCAAATTATAAGAGAATATTAATGGAAATTGGTATTTTGTATGTTATTCAAAATAAAAATCAGAGATTGTAGGTTTTTTAGTTAAATTTGGAGGAAATTATATATTAAGATTTGAACAATATGGTAGACATAAACCTAGTAGATATTATAAGGTAATATTTGGTGGATCTGAATTTGATTATTTGAGTATGCCAGGACAATTTGCAAATATCTATTTTGATTTTGATGAACCTGCTTTTATAAATACAAATGAAGATGTAATCAAATTAATATAGAAACATTGTAATATGCCTTAAGAATTATTAAAAAAGACTACAATAAGATTAATTGAAGAAACAAAAGATTTTTCAGCTAATAATAAAGAGGATACAATATAAATGGAACCCTTTGATAATGAATATATTATAACATAATATTCAGTGAAAGGATGGTTTCGTTGGGTTGATAATATATTGGTGGAAGAATTAAATTAATTTTAAATCTTTAATTTAAGGAGTAATAAAGATAAGAGTGATAAAACTGGAGATAGAGCTTTAGAAATTCATTAGATTATTGGAGGTGGATCAGAAAGTTAAATATATTTTAGTACCTATTCTATAATTGAAGAATAAATAAGAATTACTAAATAATTGAAATCTAATTAACTTGTTTGGACCTATGCATAATTTAGTTATGACATTGGTAGTTTAAGAGCTTTTGGATACTTGATATATCCAGGTTATGCATAGAGTGTAGAATTTAATGAAGTATAACATAAATAAGTGACTAAATTATTCTTGACTATAGGAGCAGATAATGAGATATCAAGTTTTAATGGGAAGATTGCTTATATATAATTAAATGTAGGACCAAAATCATATAATGATAAAATGTTATTGGATGATGAAGGAGCATTAAATTTATATTTGAGATCTAAATTAGTTTCTTAAGAAGAAGATATTAGACCAAGTAGATACAATTAAATATAACCAGTGTTTTCATAAATGTATGATGATGAAAAAGTAAATGGATAGAGTGAATATAGTTTTGGAATGTGGAGTAGATGGATACGCACATATCCTATTTATTTATAGAAGAGAGCAGAAATACATTCAATTGCTCATTTAAAAAGATAATATAAATAAGTCATATTAGAAATATAAATAACTAAATAATCTTATTTATTTTAATCATTAGATGAGATCAAAAATATTGAATATTAAGAGTTAGAAGGATTTTGGGTTTATTTATATTTTGGATATAATAGATTAGAAAATAGATCTTTAGGAGTAGTGAATAAATTGGGAAAGGATTTTTAATCTATTGAATTTAATAATTAACATGAATTGATATTAGATTCAATTGAATTTTATGTAGGTAAACATCATACTCCTTTGTTTAATGGAGAATTTGCAAAAATATAATTCCAATTTGGTCCTCATTCTTTTAGATAGGAAAGTGAATTAAAAGAATTAGATACTCAAGGATTACCTTATATAATTCCTTTGAATTAATAAACAATTTAATTGATAGGTGCTGTTTAATAAAGTCCAATAGATGAGAAATATGAATTTGAATAATTTTAAGGTATAACAGAATATAGTGTGTCAGGATGGGTAAAATTCAATGGAAAAGAGAAATCTGGTGAATAATATCATATTATAACATTAACTTAAAGAACTTTAGAGGAAAGTGATGATTAGGCAACTTTATAAATATTAAAAAATGATGTTAATTATGTTTTTGTTACGTATACTTGTGAAATTGAATGTGATAAATATTTGAAATAGGAGAGTGGTTTTGGTGAATATTGGGATTAATGGACATATATTTATTTTGGATATAAAAATTATTAGACATATACTTATATTGAATATAAGTTTACATAGAATTCATTCATTATTAAGGATGTCAATCATTATTATATGTCTGTATTCTCTGTTCTATTAGGATAATAGAGAAAAGAGTATCTTTAATATACAGGGTCATTGAAATAATGGGTTTTGAATGTAGGTAATGGTGCTTATAGAGAAGGTAGTTATGAAAGCGAATAATTAAGTATCAAAGTACATTTTGGATATTTAGCAGGAACAGATCATTTAACATAGGCATAATAAATGAAAGAACATCCAGAAGTATTAGATTGTCAAACACAATAGATAAAGTTACAATAAAGTGAAGAATTATAATTAGATGGATTATATGAATATGGTTATGGTTTATGGATTCAATTTAAACATTATGCAAGTACTATAAATCTAATAAAACCTAAATTAATGGGAATAGCTAGATTATCATTATAAAACATAGATCATTTATTGAGTGTTGTAATGAATGTTGGAAATTATTAATTCATTTCTTTAGAAATATCAGAATAAATAAATTATACTGCTTATCATGAGAGTGAATGGATATTTGTTTATTATGCTTATTAAAGATTATAATAAGATGTTGGTGAGACTATAGGATTTATAGTTGATAATAATGGTATTAGATAGATAAAATAAAGTGTTTTACATCCATTAATTAGAGATCATCTAAATTTTTAAGTAGGTAGAGCATCTAAAAATTATATATAATTTAATGGTTTAATAACTGGAATTAGATTATATTTAGGAAATGGAGCATTGATTAATGAAGAATAACTTAAACAAATGATACTTAAACTAAATAGAAAACCTACACAAATTTATATTGATAATGTAATAACTATTGTAGAAGATAGAACAGATAATTATAATGGAGATAATCCAATTCATATAGAAGGTAGTGCTAATTAATATTCAATGTAAATGTGGTTTAAGATGAGTTTGAATTAATTTTTATATAGGGTTACTCAAAATGAACATTTAAGTGATAGAAAATATATTGGAGATCGTGTATTTCATTTATAAACTTAAACAGATAATGTAGAATATAGTACATATAATTTATTAAATATGGATGAAGTAGATACTTAAGTTATTTAATAATGTAAAATAGAATTATATCATTTAAATATGTGGACATTTTCATATTAAAGTTATTCAAAATAAGAATAAAAGATGATAACATATTTAAAAATAGATGATTATATTTGTTAATAACATAAAGATAATATAATTCATGCAATAAGTGATTAAATATGGCTTTATTTAATGAAAGATTTTAATGATTAACATTCAAATACAATGATTTCACATATTAAATTAACTTTGGGATAAGGAAGTTTTATTGATGATAACTTTATTAAATTATCATCATTTATTGCAGGTAATAGATAAATGCCAAAAATCATAAAGGAAATTGAAAATGTAAAAGATTCTGAGACTTTTATATTTAATGAAGTGGATTCAATGAGTGAATATGCTGTATCATTTTGGTGTAAATTTAGTTCCACTTATTCTGAAAGGAGATATAGAAAACCAGAATAATTCTAAATATTCAGAATGACTACTAATGAATAATTGATTGAAGGTAAGATTGAATTAAAAGATAGATTATTAAGTGCTTATGGATTAAAAGATTCATTTAGTTTTAATACTTATGATATTAATGATAATGCTCCAAATGAATATAGTATTATATAAATAGATAGATAAGAAAATAGATGGTATTTCTTATATGCTGGTTACAAACGTAAATTATAAATTGCTAAATTTTATGTGTTTGATGGTAAAGATGAAAAATAAAATTAAAATTAAAATTTATTATAAGATCCTTTAATTGATTATATTAAAGTTATTTTTGGATCAGAAGATCATGTTATTGGATTTAATGGACAATTATTATAAATTGCAATTATGATAGGTAGTGGATCATTTGGATAAAGTGGATCATTTTTAGAATCTTCACTTTTAGATTATATTGTTTAGTATTAAATTCCAGAAGAATAAACATTAGAATATTTATATAAATAAAAAAATGGAATTATAGAATTAGATCATGAATTTGATTAACATGATTTTCATAATGTAGGATCTTATTCAATTTGTGGTTGGTTTAAATTAAATTATTCACCTCTTAGTAAATATGAATAAGAAACATCATGTTAAACATTGATACGTTTATATGAGAATGAAAAATTGAATGACAAATTAATTTAAGGTGATAGAACTATGCTTATCTAAGTTTGTGATTAATAATTTATTAAATTCTAAACTTATACTTTAAATGAAATCTAAAGTATTAATGAACATAAATTAATTGACAATATTATAGATATGGATTCACCTGTAATTTGGCATTATGTTTATATGAGTTATGATGATTTAGAATAAAATGTTTAAATACTATTGAAACAATTCTAATCTGATGAAATTAGAATACTTAATAATATATGGCATATGGAAACAAATTATTTAGGTATTCTATTTGGTAAGGATATTGATAATATTAATTTTGATGGTGTTTAATAATAATGGTAATTCTTATATGGTTATAACTCTATTTTTGATTTAAACAAACCATTCTACCAAGATAAATTACCAAATTATTACAATATCAAAAATAATTAAAGAGAATTATGGTTTTAAAGTGATGACATAACAACTGTTGAATTTCATAATGCAGTTAATTAGTATGCAATTGGAGTTTGGACAAGATGGGAGGCAGAATTCTATGATTGTAAATAAATTCAATTCCATAATATATTTAGATTTACAAGTAGAAAATAATATGAAGATAAAGCATAATTAGGAGATAGAGTATTATTCTCCTATATTACAAATAAAAATTATGAATTTAGTTCATATAATAAAAAATAGAAGCTTACTGCTATTAATACATAAATACCATATGATTTTATTGAAGGAGAATGGAATTATATATATTTTGCTTATAATGATGGTAGTCTTTATGCTGCAGTCATTCATAAATAATCTTAAAAAGCTGAACATACTATTCTTAGAGATATTGAACATGATATATTAGGATATGCTTAATTGATTATAAATAAACCTGAATTTGGATTTTAATCATTTAAGGGATAAATATATGATTTAAGAGTATTTTTAGGAGAAGGAGCATATTTAGATGACACTTAGAAAGTAGCTACTATGATCAATAAATTACATATGCATTTACCAGATGTATAATTAAAGGTTGAAGAATTCAAATGGGAAGGATGTGATACATAAATTGATGAAGATGCATCATTAATTTAAGAGTTTCCATATTCTGAATAAACAGTATATTCAATATCTGGTTGGATATGGTTATATTCAAAGAGTGAAGGTGTTTTGGATTCTTTATAGGGAGTAATGAGATTATCAACTGATCTCAATTTTAATACATTATTGGTTTTAGCCAAATCTAATTAAGTAACTTTTGGAAGTTATTCATTTGGAAAGAAGGCATTGCCTATATGGTAAAGTTGTGATATTGATATGGAATAATGGTTATTTGTGTATCTTAGTCATCAGGATGATATTACTCGATTTTATGTTAAAAGTGAGAAGGGAGTTTAAGAGTTCTCAAATGTTTCAAGACATGTTATTCCAAAGAATTTCAAATTATCTTTTGTAAAATTTGACTCATTTGAAAAATTTGATGTATTATTTAAATGTTATAGATTAATAGGGCAAATTAAAAGGAGTACAAGTAAAGTGGCATAAACCATTAGATGAACCTGAAGATGAATCTATAGCTCCAGTGTTATCACATTAATGATCTATCTAATATTATATATATGATAAAAATAGTTTACTCATTTCTAATAATAATAAGACTCATCATATTTATTGTAAGATTAAGAAAAATATATCAGAAAAGAAAGATTTGCTTCTAAAGAATGATTTCTATTTTTGATATAAAAAATCAATCAGAATCGCTCTTCAAGAGTAATTTATCATCAGTTAAATGACGAGCATATAACCAATTACAAAATCCAAGTACTATTTGGATCATTATTTCTCTTAGATTAGCTGATCTACATAAAGGTACTATGTAATTTCGATTTGATAGTTATTGTATACTTTAGGTAACTTTATCTAATTGAGAACAAATTAATTAGTTAGCTTTTTCAACTAATCCACTAGTAGGACATTCTGGACAATCAAGTAGAAGTTTTCGAAAGGAGTACACAAAGAGAAAGATAAATTTCATTTAATCAAAACTAAGGACTCCTTTGACTTCATGAATAAACTTAATAAAAGCATCTTGTGGAGTAGTTACATCATTAGGTTGTGTAGATTTTATTAGTTCATGATAGTAATCAAATTTGATTTCCTTGTTTTCAGTCTCCATAATTTATAACTACACTTCCCACATAATTAGATCGTACATATCTTGAATATTTAAGGATGCCTGTGGTTTATCTTCTTCCTTACCTAAGGCATTGGCAAGAGTAGCAAAGATGTCTTATGTTTGTGACTCTGAAAATGTTGATTCCAACCTTTGTTCATCCAGGTTCTTCAAAGATTACTACTACAGTATTAAGTAATTTGAAAACCCCATTATGTTTCTATTTTATGTGTGTGTAGAGTGCAGGATAACTCAAGTATGACTTCCCGCACTCACACTTGTGTTCTCTTTGAGCATCACTGTACTTTCGAGTTCTGGATCTCTTCTTTTTCTCACCACCATCAGCTGGCTTCTTAGGAGAATATGATTCTTGGACACTTGAATTTGTATTCGATTTATCTTGCATATTAATTAATGAAGAATGTAAATTTTAGAGAACTTGAAAATAAGAATAATAACATAGAGGAAGTCCAACAAAAAATATATGTAAAAATCTTGTCTTATAAATTTATAATATCAGCAACAGCTCTATTAATCAAATCTTTATATAATACCTCATTTTTAGGTTTATCTTTTGTTTAGGGTGTCTTTAAATTGAGGTTTTATTTGTCATCATTAGCTTACATCTTAGATAGAGTTTAAATGATTCTCTAAGCCAAATTATGGAAAGTTTCATTGATATTCAAGTTGCTCTTAGCTGAAGTCTCAAAGAATGGAATATTAAATTATTATGACAACTTCTTGCCTTCTTCTAATGTCACCTATCTTTCTGCAGACATATCAGCCTTGTTACCAACCAATACCAATTGTACATCATTCGAATTCGTATTCTCTTGTATTGACTTTATCATAATTAACTTTTTCTTACCCTCAACCATCCATCCACATTCTAAAACGATTGTCTATCAATTACACTATATGATAAGATCACCTACACTTAATAATTATTTCTACTCCTTAAGCTCCTTTGTAATAAGTTTTTGTTATATTTCTGAATCTCTCTTAACCTGCAGTGTCCCAAATTTACAATTTTAGCTTCTTCCCATCTACATCAATAGTCTTGATCTTAAAATCTACTCCTAAAGTGGCCATATGAGTTATCGAAAACTTTGCGTCACAAAATTAGGACAAGATATTTGTCTTACCAACTCCTGAATCTCCAATCACAATAACCTTAACCAACCAATCATAATCTTATGAATTCGCTTATCTACTCATCAGAATTCAATATTTTAAATTTTTAATATAATCAAAACAAATTCATACACTCAATCTCTACATTATTTGTTTTCTTATCTAATAAACTAATAATTTAATTACATATACAATAAAAAAACTTCATCAATCATTTTAATCCTCCTTAATCTATTTATTATTCCATATAAACAATTACATAAACCCATATAATAAATAAATAAGTTTCTTAAATTTCATTCTATTTTTAACAAACTGGACTTAATCTAAATATAATTCATTTTTTTATATATATATATACTATTTATAGAAATAAGTAATGAACCTATAATAATAATAATTAAATGAAAAATATCGGCCTTAAACAAACTTAATATATATGTATATATATAAATTTTCAAAATATTATTACTTTTCTAAAAATCTTATATGATTGATGAATTTAAAATTTCTTGATATCTAAATATATTTACAACAATATATAATATAAATATGATCAGAATAAAAATAAATAAATAAATATAAACAATACAATTATGATAAACATTATTAAGACATAATTTGTTGGTGCTTATTTTTCTTTTTTTTTTGGTTTAATCCCTTTAATTTAATTATATATTTTTTACCAACTATCATACCAACTTATAACTCATTCATTATTTAATGAGCATATTAAGAATGATTTATTCTGTGAAAAAATTTAGATGCATCATCTCCTGCATAATCTAATAACAACTTCATTCCTCCAGGATGCTCAGACAAGAAATCAGTAACATCATAAACATCATCATCAATTACAATCCAAGCATCATCTGATGTATTATGGAATTCTAATTCTTCCCAAGTTATTTATTTGTATGGATTTTTAATCTGTATTTTGAATTTACTTTTACTCTTTATTTTCTCTATTTAAGTAACTGAGCATAATTATGAGGTGGTGGTTCATCTGTTAATTGTCCAACTATTCTAGATGCAAGAATAGACCTAGCATAATTAGAATGATTATATTCTAAGAATTATTCTGTAGCATCCTTGGCACCACATTTCCTTAAGATTTCTTCTCCTCCTGGATGCTTATCTAAATAGGTAGTCACATCATAGACCATTCCTTCAATAACAACCCATAAAGAAGATCGTTTAAAGTGCTTTATCAATTCTTTCCATGAAATTATGGGATATTCTGAACTCATAAATTATTAAATTATCTTTAATTATGGATATTCCTTTAAAAAAAGTAAATAATAGAAATACTTCTCTAAATTGACTGAATAATTTTTTAAGAATTACAATTTACAAAACATGATTAACATTATGTTGTTTCTTTTAAATTGTTTTATTAATTCAATTTTAATATTTAATGATTCAAAACTCAGCTACTTAAAAGACTTTATCTATAAATAGTCCAAAGCATTTTGGAACAATATTTAAACGCAATTTGACTCTAGAAGATTAGAGATTAAAATCTATCTATCTTAAAGATAAGGAAACGATGTTTGAAGAAATTTAGTAACTTAAACAGGAGAAGAATAATCTGATTTAAACTATACGCAAATAATAATCTTAGTTATAATATTTCAAGAAAGAAGTAACATAATTTTAAAGAGATGAAGCAAGTCCAACATATAATTATACAAGATTAAAATAAAGTTATTTAGAGAGATTAGCTTCAATTTAGGTATTAATTGGATAGTCTATTTAGGAAGAGAACTAAAAATTGAAAGAGGAATTAGGTTAGACTCAAAATTATTTAAAATAACTCAAAAACCCTGTTGAATAATAAAATATGGACATTTATTGTATGTAATTGTCTGATGACAATGTACATCTTACAAAAATATTGGAATAAATTGAGAAATAAAATGATGAGCTTTAAGTAAGCATATAATCTAGCAACTTTAGAAAATGAATAATAAATTGACCATAAAATTGAATGCACAAAATGTTTAATGTTAGAAACTAAGAGGATTAAACCAATAATTACTTTTAGAAATTGATATTTTAAGAAGAAAATATATTTTATATGATAACAAACCTTCATAAAGGGACATTTAGAAAGTAGATGAAAAAGTAGTAATTGAATTAGAATAAGCTAAAATTGATATAAGAAATTATTAATAGAAAATAAAACATTGGGAGAATAAATATAATAGTTAATTATTGGAAGATTAAGAAAAAATAACATATTTAGAAAAAAAAAATAAAGAACTTTAAAAGTAACTTTCAAATTTAGAATTGTAATTTGAATAAGAAAAATAATAATACTAATAAATGCAATAATAATTTTAATAATAAAGATATTTGAGAAGAACAGTTGTATTAAAAAATCCTTAATTTTTTGATGAATAAGAATAAAAGAATAATGAAAATGATATATAAATAAAAAAGAATATATTAGTAGATAAAAATGATGTTTTACCTATTGCAAAGAAAGTACGTTTAAGATTGATTGGTCTTAAAATGTCATTAAATGATGTAGAAAAGTATCTTTTAACAAGTGATAATTTGACTTTTAATTAAATAGAAGAAAATTTACATTAAAGTATTTTTGGTTTAGAAGATTCTAATGAAATACATATGTTAGCAGGCTACCTAGCTGATATTGAAGATGAAAATGAGAGTACTACAAGTAGTAGAGTTAGAAGTATATTTAAAACATTAATGGAAAATTATATCATTTTAAATCATTAATAATTAGATACAATAAATTTTACTATTATGAATAAAAAATAAGAAATTTAAGAAATATTAATGAAAAAATATCCAGAAACATTTACAAATGGATATATGAAAATTGAAGTAATAAATTAAATATTATAAATAGATTTATCTTGATATATTAAATCAATTAGATATACATTTTAGTAAAATAGAGATAGATCATTTATAAGCTCTTATTACTAAATAAAATCGTTCTCCTAGAATTCTTTTATAATAAATTTATGCTCCCTTCTATATTCCAGAAATATAATTAAATAGTAATCCAAATATAGATGATGATGAATTAGCAAATCCTTTAATTGGTGAGAATCCAATGTTATCTGAAAATCCTTTATTCTCTGAAAATCAAATGTCAGTATCACTCGAAGATCATGAATAAATGAGTGTTTTAGATATTAAAATGTGTAATTCTCAAGAATTAAGAAAGAAAAGTTAATCTGAATTACCTTAAGTTTGATTATAATATATTAATTAAATTTTAAAAATCATATAATTTATCTATTATTATTGGAATA